GTAAAGTCAAACTTGTCTCTGACTTAAAATCACTGAGACGTAACGTAATTATGCAAGTCCTATTTGCTGCTGCTGCGATTGTCCTGGTTCCAGTTCACTGATTTTTGGCAGGCAAATCGTGCATATTAATGACGGCAAAGGCCAACTAGCTCTTTTTTTACACTGCAAACAATGTTTTACTCACCCCTCTCCTTTTCAGTTTTTACTTTCCTCCTCCTCCACAATTTTATTGTTTTCGTTCCTCAATTTTTTTATTCCCTCGTCCAAAATTTCACAATTTTTATTATTTTCCCTCCTCAATCTTAATTTCCCTCCTTCTCCACAATTTTCTTTTCTTTTCCTCCTCATTTTGATTGTTTTGATAGGGTCGATGTAGGGTCGATGTGGGGTCGATGTGGGGTCAGCGATTTGAAAGAAATCTATTAAAATAGTCAAAGAAAGCAAGCTGTCTTTTTTTTTTTACAACGTTTCCCTCCTCCTCTTCCTCCTCCTCCTCCTCATTTTTATTGTTTTCCCTCCTCCTCCTCCTCATTTTTGTTTTCCCTGCTCCTCCTCCTCCTCCTCCTCATTTTTATTGTTTTCCCTTCTCCTCCTCCTCCTCATTTTTATTGTTTTCCCTCCTCCTCCTCCTCCTCTTCATGAGGAGGAGGAGGAGGAGGAGGAGGAGGAGGAGGAGGAGGAGGGAAAACAATAAAAATGAGGAGGAGGAGGAGGAGGAAGAGGAGGAGGGAAACGTTGTAAAAAAGGACAGCTTGCTTTCTTTGACTATTTTAATAGATTTCTTTCAAATCACCGAACCCACATCGACCCCACATCGACCCTACATCGACCCTATCAAAACAATCAAAATGAGGAGGAAAAGAAAAAAACAATCAAAATGAGGAGGTGGAGGAGGGAAAACAATGAAAGTGAGGAGGTGAAGGTGGAGGATGGAAAATAATAAAATTGTGGGGAAGGAGGGAAATTAAGATTGAGGAGGGACAATAATAAAAATTGTGAAATTTTGGAGGAGGGAATAAAAAAATTGAGGAACGAAAACAATAAAATTGCGGAGGAGGAGGAAAGTAAAAAAATGAAAAGGAGAGGGGTGAGTAAACCATTGTTTGCAGTGTAAAAAAAGAGCTAGTTGGCCTTTGCCGTCATTAATATGCACGATTTGCCTGCCAAAAATCAGTGAACTGGAACCAGGACAATCGCAGCAGCAGCAAATAGGACTTGCATAATTACGTTACTTCTCAGTGATTTTAAGTCAGAGACAAGTTTGACTTTACTCCTCAGGCACTATGAATTAACCAATGAAAACTATACTTATTTCCTTACTAACCAATCGAAAACGAAGACGTTTATCGACTTTAAAGTAACTAGAAACCCTAAGCCAACTAAAAATAGCACACGACCTTATCTTAATGAGATTCCTGCGCATTTTACTCATCAGATAAAGGCTAAAGGTTATGACGTCATCGGCATTAATAGATTCCTGCGCAAGTTAATAAGATTCCTGCGCATTTTATTCATGAGATCAAGACAAAAGGTTATGACGTCAGCGACGTTAATTTATTCCCCTCCCCCACCTTAATGAGATTCCCCCCCAAGAAAGAGGAGTAACCGGTGCGCCCTATACTACTGATGCTCGCAGTGTTTTCTCTCCCTTCGTAGCGTAGCGTCCGGCCTGAAGAAACCACTGCTTGCAGGGTATGGAGTTATGGATGCACTTGGGAGGTTTGCTAAACACTCAAGAAGTTAGAGTCGCACGGGGCGATAGCCGAGTGCGACTCTCAATACGTTTCTTTCGAGCTTAGCAACCTCCCGCGTGCATCCATAACTCCATGGCTGCACGCTGCACGTTTACCATTTCGTAAATTGAGTGCAAATAATGCAAATCCTGACAAATGACAAGAAGATCTGCATAATTAAGAACAGTGGGAACATCGATAGCAAATTGATTTTTAATCCCTTAAAATAGTCTACGACTCAAAATCCAGGCACCAAAACAAAAGTATGTTGTGGAACTGAACTCGAAAAAGTTGAATCTATGTAGTATTTAGGAATTATCAGAAATTAATAGTTTTCCTAAACTAAAATAGTTCGTTCAAGCATATCGTCGTCACTCTCAAATAACGTCAATTAACTTTCTTCTATAAAGCCACATTTTGACCCTACTTTTGAGCAACTTAAAGACTAATCTGAGGAACTGCAGACCGCGGAACCGCGGAACCTGCGGAACCTATAGAAATGGCTGTTTCATCACTTTATAAGTTAAAGTGATGAAATAATTAGTTACAATCAATTATAACATTGATAGACTGTTCACGGTCCCCTTTTTCCCGTAATATCGTCGAGATCGAGCGCTCACTTTAATTTCACTGGCAGCCATTTTATAATTGGATTCAAATGTACCGAGATAGCGGGCCTCAGGGTTCCTAAACCGTACCTCGCCCTTTAGGTATAGTTCAAGCTAGACCAAGTCAAGATGGCGGCCTGTAGCGTTTGTTCTCAACGATCCTGCTGAAAAATAGAGGACTTTGAACAGTGTATAAGACCATAATATTAATCTAGAGCTCTGGTTCCCAACGGGAAGTCCACTTAGCGAATTTCCCGGCTTGTTAGTACTCCTCGATCTCCATAATTTTTCATATGATACTCAGTCTCATTCATTAATTGTTACTTATTTTTTTGTTGGGGTTGTTTGTATAAAATCCCTCAGTCGAGGGATTTATCGGTATAAATCTCTAAAACAAGGGATTTATACAGATAAGTTTCTAATTAATAGTTATGAATTCAATTCATCAGCCCCGCTCTTCCCTGCTACGTTATCAAGCCCTCCCTGGACTTTCAGTTTGTTGAACTGTTTGTTCAACATTGTCTGATGTCTCGGAATTACTTAGTAAGATGACCATCAAGTCCTGTCCTCTTGATCCCGTCCCTGCTTCTGTTTTGAAGCAGTGCACATCAGTTCTTTTGCCTGTTATGACTCAAATTGTAAATCAGTCTTTATGTCTAGCTGTTTTTCCAGACTGTTTTAAGCTTGCATTGTTGAATCCTCTTCTCAAAAAGCCCACACTTGATGTTGAAGTTTTTTCGAATTTTCGTCCTATTTCAAATTTGATGTTCATGTCTAAACTCACTGAGAAGGTGGTGGCATCTCAGTTGATTAATCACATTTCTAGTAATGGACTTGATGAATACTACAATCTGCATATAAACAATTTCATAGTACCGAAACAGCTTTAGTCAAAGTTTTTAATGATATAATCCTAGACGTTGACAGGAATAGGACTGTTATCTTACTTTTATTAGATCTATCAGTCGCTTTCGATACGGTTGATCACACTATACTGATTGAGAGATTAGCAAACCGCTTCGGTCTTTGCGATCTAGCTCTTGCCTGGTTTAAATCATACCTGAGCGACAGAACTCATTTTGTGAGCATTCGTGGTGCGCGGTCTGTCACGCGTTCGCTGTCGTGCGGAGTACCACAGGGCTCCTGCTTGGACCGATTTTATATCTGCTCTATACCTCCCCATTGGGGGATATTGTCAGACAATACAACATGGGCTATCATTTCTATGCTGATGATACTCAGTTGTATCTGTCTTTCAGTTCTCTCAGTGGGGATGATCAAGCTTATTCTGTCTCTCAGGTTGAATCTTGTGTTAGAGATATCGACCGTTGGATGTCTTGTAACAAACTTAAGTTGAGTAGGGACAAGACGGAACTGCTCGTTATCAGTTCAAAATATCGGCCACGCCCATCTTTAGATAGTATCCTGGTTGGTGATCATCGTGTAGAGCGGTCTGACAAAGCTAGGAACATAGGAGTTGTTTTTTATGAGACCTTGTCACTGGATAAGTATGTGAGTTCCGTTTGTAAATCTGCCTTATTTCATCTTCGGAATATCGCGAAGATTAGAATGTATCTGACTTCTGAGAGCAAAAAAGACCCTCGTCCATGCTTATGTTACTTGTCGACTGGACAATTGTAACTCGTTGCTCCTCGGGTCTCCGGAGTATATTATTCAGAAGCTCCAGCGCGTTCAAAACTGCGCTGCACGCCTTGTAGCTGGGCAACCTAGGGCTGCGCACATTCGCCCCATCCTTAAGGAGCTACACTGGTTACCTGTGGAGCAGCGAATTGCCTGTAAAGTATTATTGTTAACTTTTAAAGCTCTCAATAATCTGGCGCCTCCGTATTTAAGTCAACTTATAGTCCCATATAACCCTACAAGAAATCTTAGGTCAGTTAGCAAACATTTATTGGAAGTACCGAATGTGCGCCTGAAGAGCTATGGGGACAGGGCCTTTTCGGTCGCTGCCCCAAAGCACTGGAATGATATTCCCTTAGACATTAAATTAAGTGGATCAGTTGATGTTTTTAAATCTAGATTGAAAACTTATCCTTTTAGACTCGCTTTCAATTGACTTTTTGTTTTAGTGCTATTGTTAGTTAGTTATTTTCTTTTTTTTTTTTTTGATTGTAAAGCGATATAGAGCTTTTGTATATACCGCTATACAAATAAAGTTATTGTTGTTGTTGTTGAATATTCAGGATGGTTGTACGTTAAATAAAGGTTGTTGAATAACAAAAGAAAAGGTGTGAATCATTAAATAATTGTGAATAAATGCTCTTGACTGAACGAATGCAAATAAACAATGATAAAAGGCAAACATGAAACTTAGGAAAGATTGATCTATAAAAAAAATATTGCAGCTAAATATTTGAAAAAAGTCAATAAAAGTGAAAAGCGGATAAAACATCAAGGCAAAAGGCCTAATTAAGCAAGCTTAAATCTGAGTAAATTTAAATCTGAATAAATAAGAGAGAACAAGGAAAATACGAATCAATAAAACGAGGATAAAATGCAAATGAACATTAGTTCTTAAAAAGTACTTTAAAAATCTAGTTTTTTTTTTATTTCCTACATGATAACTGCTACCCAACGCTCCCTAAGTATTCTCACTCCAAAACTATACAAAGAAAGTCTCTTAATAATATACATATTTGGACAATGCCGCCATTTTGCGAGTCATTAGCGAAAATTGACTTTCCAGAAATCACCAGAAGATGTTGGACTTGAGTTTACATCATCGCAAAGAAAATAAGGAGGTTTTGTATTCCAAAAACATCCTAGACTAAAAGCAAGTGATTTGTAAAGTCTTTCTTCGCTTTCTCCGCTTCGCCATTTGCCCTTCCCTCCCCAAATTTTGCATGACCCTTGCTAACTTTGAGTTGTCATTTTCCATTCTGACGTATGAGCCACACGAGGCGGGCTGGACATCAGCCTAACCGCTGAAGTACTGGACTACGGCTTCACCAGTGATGTTATCAGCAGTGGTCACGTGGAACGTACGTCCGTTCTTTTTACTGCAGTAGAGTCTCAGCTGGGTGAAAGACAAGCCAGTGATCTCAGCTCGTTCATGGCGGTTTTTGTGAGAACCATCTGATCACTGCTTATTCCACGGTATGAAGTCTTGACTGGCAGCTGAGAGGGTGGAGTTGAACCAATCACAATGTTGGAAACGAGGAGCCATCCTCCTGAAATGAATAGTTGTATGTTGTTATACATTTTTTTAATAGGGAAAGGCAATCGTTTGTAAAGGTAAAGGCATGCTTCACGGAAAATCTGACCAGGCAGCAAACGAAGTCTCTTTTCTACTATGCCAAGGCCGATCTGTATAATTCTTTTTAATATACAGCTATTTCGAGAAAGGTTGTCGGAGAAAAATGTGCACGCGACAATCCCGAAAGGTAATATGGGATATGATCAGTACACTGTTCCTGACACTGTAGCTGTCGAACTTAGTATTGTTGCTTTCCTTTAGCACTTTCAAACGTAAGTCCATAGCCTCTCGTGCCATTTTTCCAAATTTCTTTGAAGAACATTGACCTCAAAACCACCCACAATGTCTTTCGGGATTGTCGCGTGCAATTTTTCCGACAACCTTTCTCGAAACAGCTGTATACTAAAACAGTGGATAGTGTTTTTAGCGCCCTCTGATTGGCTACTCAATCAGTGAATATCCTGCACTATTCACTGATTCACCTCCAGTTCCTCCGAGCGAGCGACGCCAAACTCGCGTAAGTTGCGAGCAAAATGCCTTCTCGGTTTGCTGCCGTAACAAACAAAGAAATTTCACAACTAATCAAGCAAGCTGTTCCTGAAATACGCGAAGAAGGTGACGTAGTTCGGTTTTAAAGTTTTGACAGATAAAGCTTTGTCTTTTTGACTTGAATTTATCGAGAAAACCCGTAATCATAGAAGTTCTTTGTTTACAAATGCAAATTAAGCTGAAGTCTTGCTTTACTTGATTTAGTTGACTTGTTCATAAACAAGCTTAAAACTAAATTTAATTTTCACAGAATGATTTAAACACCAAAAGAATTCACAACTCCTTTAGAAGAAATTTCTCCGCAAGAGCTAAACAAATGCCTTCAAAGGTTTTATTTGTCGGCAAGAAAAAGCGACGACAGCGACCGTTCGGTCATTGCGCGCCAAAATTGTAATCGTTGGCAACAGTAAATGAGTTACAAATGATCATTTTTGTGCCCAATTATCTCACTGTTTTAGCACAGGCAGACCACCCTCTGTTAGTGGGGGCCGTTGTTGATTGAAATCTGAGCTTCGATCTTTTGTTATTTATAGAAGAAATACATATGTACAATACGGCGGCTATTGTTTGTTCCAAAATGCAGAATTTAAAGAAAAATTTTTCAATAAAAGTTTGAAGAAAATGTTAACTGAGTCATGTGTCATGTTTTTTTCGCCATCCCGGGCTGTTTTAAGCGCTGTTTTGCGAGATGAGTATTTGACCTCGGCGGTTAGAACTATGGACGGAGACAAGGCAGGCAGCAATTAGCTGCCGGCGCGTGACCCAGTCCAATTTAAGCTGGAACTGACGCCAAACTATTTTATTTCTTACCTCGGAAATACCGGCTCGCGATCGACTAGATATGTATCCATGCCCTATCCGAATGAGAGCTCAATCCTTCCAACATTTCTCGAGAAAAGCGATCCTGAAGTTACAAGACCAGCTTTCTCAACATGACCGGTGCAAAAATCTCAACCAAAGGCATTTGAGGTGTGCGCGTCGATTCAAATCCACCAATCAACGTATCGCGACCGTTGGCAGTTCAAAACCACAACCCTGCCCCGCACAGGGATGTTTGTTTGGTCGCGATACGCTGATTGTTGGATTTGAATCGACGCCCATAACTCAAATGCCTTTGGTTGCGCGCCACCGTATAATATCCTCTATATATCACACTTATCCTTATCCATGCCATTACTGCAACAATTGGTAATTATTGTCTGTTTTTGTCTTTTTCAAGTTTTAACAAATATTCTGTTTAAGGGAAGTTATGTGAATTCATGTAAAGAACAGATTTTTAAGAGCAGATCTCACCTCCGTAAGTTGTCATGTCACAGTAAACGTTCAACGGGTTTCCACCGTTCTCAGAGTCGATCCAGTACCTCCTTTCTCTTTTAGAGTAACCAGAGTCCCGGATACTCTTACGGGAATAAGCAGGCTGCTTGGAATTCCAACCCCGCTACTTTGCTGTGGCAGATAATAAGAAAATGACTATATATGGTAAATATTCACTCCGCCGTGAAGTAAAATCAAGTTAAATAGACGAGCGTTACCTACGAATTTCACATCTGTTTCCTTTGTAGTCCGAATGACAATGACCAGTTTGTTTCTTCTTGTTGGTGGGCAAATCTCGGCAGGAAACCTGAGAAATCGATTTGAAAAGCGAATTTAAATGAGAAACATCGATCAAGCAATATCCCAAAACTATGGATGACGTCATTATTGTGATTTAGTTTTCACCAGTTTTGTTTGCTTTAGAAGCAATATAAGCAAGTATGTTGATATATGTACTTTAAGCTCCTTTAAGCCACAGGAAAACAGGTACGACAATTCGTTATTTAAAAGAAAACGTGATCAAAACGACTATTTACGATACTTGAGTTCTGAAAAAATATAACTACTTGAATTGTTATGATATCCGTAAATTTATAAGGAGACCTCGAAAATGCGGAGATTTTGAGCCGCAAGTGTGAGAACAAGGAAATCGAACATGGTGACCGTCGTAAATAACAAAATAAACATTTTCAAGAAATAACTTCTGTCTTAATTGTTTAAGTTTGTTCATTCATACAATTAGCTCGAAACACGATCACGAGACTACAGCATCACTTCTGCGAAGACGTCGGCGAATCTTTTCTTACTTTCATATTCAGTTCTTGGGCTTTTTTTGATCGGAAGTTAAAACAGTTGTTTTCAAATTGTCATGTTGATGACGTCATGGTTTTTATGGGCCACCGATTTGACCGGACTGAAAACAGTGAAAAGCCTTTTTACCTTTAAAAACTGAGTTTTGGTTTTGGACGTAGAAAGTGCATTTCTTCTCCATTCAAATTCACAGAACGTTTAGCTCGTTTCACTTTGTGATAGCTTTGAGTCTTTGACATCTTTAACAGCTTTTGGCTTTTTTCAACCAACCAATCAAATCATTTGGCCCATTCGAAAAATGATTGTGATTGACTAATTTAAGCGTGTTTTATGAGAATGTAGAACATGATGACACTTTCGCTCGCTTTGAAAAAAAAGTTTGTTTTGGAAATAAGAATGCGTGGGAAATTTAACGGATTCTTTTTCATAAAACAAATAAAGAAGAAGCCTTGACTGTGCTCTGTTCTGTTGTAAAGCGCTTACGAAGCAGCTAAAGCACTTAAGAGGTAGTTTTCCTCTACACTGCTTTCGTGATCAGGCCTCTTACTGCGTACTTTACTATAGAACAGAGCACAGTTAAGGCTTCTTTATTTTGTTAAGTGAAAAGCCATGGTTGATGTTCAATCAGTAGAACTCACCTTAACAGGTCCATAATAAGAAGATCCTTTCATCTTTTTGAAGCTTTCCGACTGAAAAGAAAAGTGTAAATTTGGATGGCAACAAACACAGGCTCCGTACGGGCACAGAAAGCACAGACAAGACTTTAAAAAAGCTGCCCTAACTGAGTTAAAGGGGTAGAAAGGCCGGATATGTTTTCTATTTTGGATGTTGATTGTCATTGGCTCGGAAACTAAGAAATTACTCGGCTGGATTTTGCAATTTAGATGGGGGCCGGGTGTAGAAGTCGAAGTTTTTATGAGAAGAGTCTAATTACTATTTGGGTCGACCTTACTCAACTGAGTTCGACTACTGGGTTACCAACGTCGAACTTGGCTAAGCGTCGACCTAAGTTCAAAAGTTATTATAAAGGGCGTGAAACATTATAAAGTCGTCGGTGGAAGCCTGCTTTGCAGAAACACGATTATAACAGACAATTCTCTTGACAAACGGCTCTCAATATATTAATTTGTAGTGAATAAACAGCATTTTACGGAAACCCAGATAACACAAACACTTTAATGGCATGTGCCCCTGATGTGTGTATGTTTGTCCCCTAGAAGCTCTGTACACTTCCCCGGGGCAGTAGCCAGGATTTTTTCAGAGGTACGCACAACTCACCAAATGCCCCTGTCCCCCCCTCTACCCTCCCCCACCAAGGTATAGTTACTGTCAGCCTAAGCGTTTATGACGTCTCTAAGTAATTTGAAAAATTCTTTTTCGCCTTTTTTAGTTTATTGACTAAATCACGCCAATAGTTTTAGTAACTCAAGGCTACGTTTACAGACGCACAGAGATGCGTGAATCCAAAAATAATTAAAAAAGCTCCCGGTTTGGTCAACTCTCTGGAGATTTTGAATCCGAAATCGAAAGGGAAGTACTTTGTATCTAACAATTACCTTTAATTCCTTAGTGTTTTGTAGAGTAAACAGTTCTTCCAACGAATCATGATGCTCTCCTCCTTCCATCATAAGTGTTTGCGGTAAAACCAAAATGAAAGTGTCACGTTCATAAATATAGGGTGCTTTAAAAATATCGATGGCGAGGGTAGCAAGTACGTCACTATTTAAACGAATTCGCGTTGTTTCAAACTTTTGCGTTTATTGCTGAAAACGGCAAATGAATAGGAGAATTTCACTGGAGTTGAATCCTTGGGGACCGCACCCAAGTTTGAACTGGGGATGAAAAAAATCATCATCGTGTGTTTATTACGTCCTCCAAACAACGTCCCGTAAAAAAAAAATTCACGTCGTGGTCGTGCAAGAGGCAAAGAAATTTACCAAGCAGCGTGCTACACGTGCAAAAATTTGTTCTTTAACTTTTAAAACCTTTTGCTTTTTGACGCAGTTGTTCTCGTTGCTATCGCCGTCGTCCTTGCTAAATCCACTCAGTTTTATCGATGTGTGTAAACTGTTGGGAATCCGAATGCGCTTTTTTGTATGAGGACTCTATGAACGCTTACGAAGTGATCCGAACACCCTCAACAAAATAACTCCGGAATCCTGAATCGGAAATATTTATGAATCCTCTAATGTAACCGTAGCGCCTACGAGAACAATCCAGTGGTATCTCAGACTTTTATGTGCAAAAGTGTGATTCCTTTACCGTTACTTTCCACATTACTTTTAACCGAGGAAGATCCCTGCGTTAACGTTGATGTAATCTTGCCCTTCTTCGTCTAGTGCGAAGAGAGGCCGAAGTGAAAACAACGCGTTTACGCTTTAAACCATCCAGCCTTGCTGTTTGCACTTTCTCCCGCTGTTTGTCTAAATATATACAATTGAAGATTCGGTCCACCAGTGAATCACGTCTCTTTCCCGGAAGCCGGCATTCGGGTGTAAAAGGAAAAATCAAACAGTGAATGAATTGAGCCGAACTGTGCTTTTAAAATAATTAACTTTCATCTATCTTATCCTTTGTATCTTTTTTTTTTCATTATTCACTTTTGTATCTCATTATTTTATTCTATTTTCTTACCCTCGACTATTAAATGTAGGCACGTGTGTACTGTGCGTACAGGTAGCTACGCCCCTGCTTCCTATCCGTCTGAAGCGGACTAGAAGAACCTGTTTGTCGATCCGGCAAACTTTGATATTCAGACGAGCAAAACTGAGGCAGACGCCAAACGTATCATGAACTAACCCGTTCAGTTTGGATCGTCTCTTGAAATGTTCGAAGCCTGACCCGTCTGGGCCTCAGTTTGCTTGCTTCTAAATAAACTCTCCCTAGTTGGCTTTTCTAGGATAATTTAATATTTAGAGACTTTAAAGTGCATGCGACACAATTGAAAGCAAACGGCACAATGCCGTGGCATGAGCATTTTGTGGCTTTATTTAAGAGGCCAATCATGGCGCGTACGTAAATCCTGGTACATAGGTGAGGGTCCAGACCACGGATCTCGGCGTTGTTTCGCTGACGGCCTTAAGTAGAATTTAGTTTCGTCTTTGGTGCAGACTGCCCGTAAACCAATTTGGCAGAAATTTGGCCAAACTTACCATCAGATAGTTATTCTAAAAAACCGTGTCTGCATTTTGTTGTTTTTCTTCTTCTTTTTTTAAACAGCTTTGTTAAAAAAAGGGGTTCGTGTTCAAAAAGTAGAACTTACCTTGACAGGTCCATAATAAGAAGATCCTTTCTTCTTTCTAAAATCTTTCGGCTTCATCTTCTGTGTTTTGTTGTTAAGCTCACAAACTCGTTTTGCAATACAGTGAAACCTGTATTAAGCGGACACCCTCCGGGAATGCTGTAGTGTCCGCCTAATACAGGGTGTCCGCCTAATACAGGTTTTGATAGATAATGTCATATGAGGTGTCAAATGCCATTCAAATGAACAGTGGAAACGTTTAGAATATTCCCAGAGACTATGACGATATACGTTTGCATTAATATCTTTATTAAAGTGGACCAATTGATCATAGTAGCAAAAACATATATTACAACTCAAATTTGAAGAAATCAGATGAGTGAAACAAGCTCTATAGAAACAAAACGAAATAGAAAACAATATTGTACTGTGAAACTAATCAAATAAGATCGTCGAATCACGTTTTTTAATTAATGTAAAAATCGAATAATTTGTGCATGGGTGGGTGGTGGAATTTGATTACAAGTGTCCGTTTAATACAGGTGGTCAACAATAGAAATGACCATTTCAGGTACTTTTTAGGTGTCCGCGTCCGCTTAATACAGGTGACCGCTTAACAAAGGTTTTATGTAAAGTAAATAAGGGAAATAAATTTGGGGGCTTCGATTACTGTCCGCTTCATAGAGGGTGTCAGCTTAATACGGTGTCCGCTTAATACAAGTTTCACTGGATTAAGATGTCTCGTTTCATGATCACTTTATAGTGTAGAGATTATTAATTAATCGACGGCCACCTAGCAAGCTAAAATACGCTTCCTGAGCAGGTTACATATCTAAAACATTTTTCAGCTTTAAAAACAAAAAATTAACAAAAAGATGCAAAAAATTCAGGGTGAGTGGGGGGAGAAGACCACTGGTACCGAGAGGGGAGGAGAGGTTCTCGACAAATTTTTATAAGGCGAGGCTACGCCCAAGGTCCAACCCCTTACCCCTTTATATACCATTTTTCATGAAAAAGGTCCCCCTTACGTATACCTTCTATTGACAAATGGTACCCCTTTCACATACCTTGTTTAGAACTTTACATCCCTTTTAACTGCTGTGAACGTACTGTCATTTAAATAGGAATCAATCACAAAAATAGAACGTTTGCTCGACTTTATAAAGCCAAAAAATTAATCTATTAGCCCTTTAGGCCCTTTCACAGACCCAAATGACAGATTTCCCCATCCTTTCATATACTTCAACGAGTAAAATCCCTACCCTTTCATATACCTGAAGCCTGAAAAAGGTACCCCTTTTGGGCGGAGCCTCACCGTATAGGCCATCATAGGGGGTACCCCGCCCCCGGACTACTGAATCACCAACGTCGAACTTGGCTGAACGTCGAACTAAGTTTAAAGGTAATAAAGGGCGCCAAACATTTCACTGAAAGTCGTCGATGGAGGCTTGCTTCGCTGACTGAAACCCGTTTATAACATACAATTCTCTTCGTTCCGACAAACAGCTCAATGTATTAATTTGTAATGAATAAACAGCATTTTACGGAAACCCAGATAATACAAACACTTTATTGGCATGTCTGAATGTTTGTCCCCTAAAAGATCTGCGCACTTTCTATTCGTCTGAAACGGACTAAGAACCTGTCTGTCGATCAGGAAAACCTTGATATTCAGACGAGCTAAAATGATGCAAACGTCAAACTTATCATAAACTTAACTCACTCAGTCTGGTTCGTCGGATGAAAAGTTCGACGTTTGGTCTTGGCTTTAGTCGATCCAAACTCATTCAGACGAACCTAACTGAGACAGACGTGAAACTTATCAGGAACTTAATCTGTTCAGTTTAGATCGTCTTATGAAATGTTCGAAGCCTGACCTGAACCTCAGTTAACTTAATAAACTCTAAAATTGGCTTTTCCAGGAGAATCTTATATTTAGAGACTAAAGTACATGCGACATAAGCAAAGGCACAATGATTAAATGGCGTGACCCTTTTGTGGCTTTATTTCAAGCGAACGGATACTTGAAAAAAAAAATACAATAAGCAAAAACGGATATAAGGCCTACTGCAAATGACAAAGATAAGAAAGATCTCTCGAAACAGCTGGACATCCGTCTGACCGCTGAAGTACTAGACTACATAAATCGCTTGATAATCAAGGTATTTTCGTCTAAGTCAGCAATCGACTATTTGCGCAATGGCGTCATTTTACTACTAGTCCTTCACCACCAGGACTGTAGAAGACACAAGTGTAATAATTGGACCTAAGAGTAATAAAGGCCCTATCTGTAATAACATTTGGACCCAAGTGTAATAAAGGACGTATTTGTAAAAGTTACCTTTGTACTCAAACTGGTAATATACCAACAACAATTTATGGCCAATAAGAGGTAAGGAGTGTAAAATCAGGTGACCTGCAGAAACCAACCTCAGCCATTCAATTTAATCTCCATGGCTTTCACGTCAACTGTCAAAGTGAATTTTACACGTAGTAGTTTGGCTAGAAAAGTATTTACTATTAGATAAACGGAACTGGCCACTAAAATAAGGCCATTGTCACTTAGAACTATTAACCAAAGAAAATATTTGCTCAGTACTGCTTTACTGCGCTCTTACGAGAGTTTTTTTTGTCGTTGCGAGCGACAAGAGGAGCCCGCAATCCTAATCTCAAGGTTGTTATTATGCACGCATCGCCGTAGTCAGCTGTCGTTTGAACTTTCACTAAGAATGAATGGAATGCACAGAACGCAATTTGATCACGTGCGTTTGGACCTTCTATCACTCGTAATCTTATCACGCATGTTTTGATCATCTGTCACGTGAAACGTACGCAAAGCACAGCGCTGGAGCAAAAGCGTTTTGACCTTCGATCGTTATCGCCCGCACTCCGTAACCTTTGGCTATTACTAGTTACAACGTTAAAATTTTTATTTTATCTTTATTCGGAGGTGTCTCTCACTATCTTTCAAGAGCTCCAAAATATCGCTTTATGATAAGCACCATAAGACTAGCTGAGAACAATGATACAGAGGCGCGTGACAATAGTTTGCAAATTGACCATCTTTTGGGTCGTAATGGTGTCAGGTGAGAATTTCACCGTAAGAGCTCCAAAATGTCGAGCTGATTATAAGCAAAGGTTAAGACAAGCTGAAGACGGTCCAAATGTTATTACAGATAGGACCTTTATTACGCGTGGGTTCAAAATGTTATTACGGATGGGACTTTTATTACGCTTGGGTCCAAATGTTATTACAGATGGGACCTTTATTACACTTGGGTCCAATTATTACACTTGTGCCTTTTACAGGATCAATCTCGTTTTTCCTTTCGTATTTAAATTTCGTAATCCCAGCGAGGTTTAAAAAACAAAAGCTCTAATTTGCACAAGCAAAACACTGATTTTGGAGCGTTAGTAATGACGTCATCGTGCAAATGGCCTTTTGATTATAGCCTTCTATTTTTGATCCTCCCTCCTTGTAGAAGGACGTTTTTGAAAATGAGTAAATTCTGTGGTTAAAAAGTTGAAACTTCTACAGCCAATAAGAGTACTCAATAAAAACAGACGTCAACACACAGACATTTTAGCGAACGTAAATTTTCCAGAAATCACCGGTGGTCACGCCAGCAAGCATATGAAGTCTTGCCTGGCAGCGGAGAGGGGGAGTTGAACTTTCCATCGTGATGTTGGAAACGAGGAGCCAACCTCCTGAAAGAGAAATGTGAAGATAAAGAGGTATTTCATTAAAGTTCTACATTCTGTAAAATCAATAAGAATGGCTGTTTTAATAGCGAAGCTCGACGTGCGCGCTTCTATTTACCCGAGAAAATTTGGTAGTCACGTGACCGTCCCTCCGTCTGCACAACAAGGAAACCAATATTAAATCTCACACTTTCTAGCTAGTTTGGGAGGCTGCAACCTGATATAGCACATCCATGTCGTGGTCAGTTGACAGCTGTCAAAACAGGGTATCCGCTGACCAGTATCACTTGACCGTATCGCGGGCTTTTTTCTTGACCCATCTAGTGTACGTTTTTTGAAGTTACTAGTTTTCAAATATTCGCAGACTCAAACTAAATTTTGTCTCAGTGCACAGGAAATAAGTTGTGTTTATCAGGTGAACAATTAAAATTTTGATTTCAAACTGACTTCGGACGCGAAAATTTAGTCAGTTTTTAACACGCAGGGAATTAAGAAGGCAGATGCTTTTAGCATTTCTCACCATAGTCATGCGTTGGCCATGCTCTACTCCCAATTTTTGTCCGATTTGTGAAAATTTGACAGATGAATTCATGTGGAAATATTTTTCCGCATTTAGAAACTTGCTTACGCAGATAGCTGAAGCCGACGGAGTTTTTTGTCATCTTATTTATGATGCTTTTAACTGTCTTTTTTGAGCAGATCTCACCTCCGTCAGTTGTCATGTCGCAGTAAACGTTCAACGGGTTTCCACTGTTCTCAGGGTCGATCCAGTACCTCCCGTCTCCTTTAGAGTCACCAGAGTCCAGGATGCTCTTACAGGAATAAGCGGGCTGCTTGGAATTCCAGCCTTGCTTTACTGCAGCAGATAATAAAACAAATGACTATATATGGTAAATATTTGCTCCGCCGTGAGGCAATAGTAGAATCAAATTTAAAAATAGACGAGCGTTACTCACGAATTTCACATCTTTTTCCTTTGTAGTCCGGATGACAATGACCAGATTGTTTTTTCTTGTTGGTGGGCAGATCTTGGCAGGAAACCTGAGAAGGAAATAAGGAATTGAAATGAGAAACATCGAACAATAGATAACAACTATAGATGACGTCATTATGTCCTTTAGCTATTACCACTTTTGTTTGCTTTAGAAGTAATATAAATAACTATTATTTATTCAAAATATTTCTCCGTTTCTGATTGGCTAGCGGTCGAGGCAGATAACACCCTCCTCGATCTCCATAAATTTTTAGATGATACTAATGATATTTGTTAAATATATTGATATACCTTCTTTCTATACCCTGCCATACGCGATATTTTTCGTGTGGGTAAAACAAATATGTATTTTAAGACAAAGGCAAACCGGTGCAACAAATCATTATTTAAGTACTATTTGCGATAGTAGAGTTCTGCAAAGATAACCACTTAAATTCGCATAATATCAAGTAATTCGTAAGAAGCTGATCTCAAAACTCCATAGAATTTGAGCCTAAAAGTCTAAGAAATTAAATACTTGTTTGTTAAAATTCCGAAAAAACCGAACAGGGTGACCGTGGTAAACAAATGTTTTAATAGAGACCTTAAGATGCGAGGACGGCGACAGCAGGTAAAACGTCGCTTAAAAATCATGGTTTTCACGGTTTTCCAATCGTCATCGCGATTGTTCCATCACGCTTACTTTATGTCAAATGTACACGAACTCTCCTGGAGTTGAATTCCTGAGAACCTTATCCAAGTTAAGAAAGAGAAAGAAAATTTCGTCGTTGATTGAATGTTTTAATGACATCCTCTATAAAACATGAAGTTACGCATTTTCACGTCGTTGTCGTGCAAAACGTAAAGAAATGTACAAAAAAGTGTTATGCACGTGCAAAGTTGTTTTTTTCTTGTTGTTTTTCTTATTTTAATAACTTACTCGTTTTAAAAGCCTATTGATTTTATGACGTTCACGTTGCCGTCGCCGTCGTCTGATCTTAAGGTCCCTAATTAGTTGTTTAGAGTTTAGAGTTTTTTTAAATAACAGTTTTATAAAAAAGCGATAGTTTATGTTCAAACAGTGGATCTGACCTTAACTTGTCCATAATAAGAAGATCCTTTCTTCTTAATGAAATCGTCCGGCTTCATCTTCCGTGTTTTGTTGTTCAGCTCACAAAGTCGTTTTGCAATATCTGCACCAGGATGAACATTAAACGACTTGCAGCTGTTATTTCTGAGACATTTTTGGTGACATTCAAACTCGTCAGCAACAGTTGATGTACTCATGACATGACCAACTAAAACATGGTCTGAAACATGAAGTAATATAAAACAGGGGAATAAGCAAAATACAGTGGAGTTTAACATAAAGCTAGGACATACATTAATTCATTTTTTTAGCTGAACAGTTTTATAATCTTTTACGATAAAGAGATATACTCGCTTGAAAATTGCGATTTGATACAAGCGCGAATCGTCAGAAGTAAAAAAAGTGATAAAAGTTGTAAGTAATTTTAACATCAGATAAAGTCGATAAAAGGAAATGCTTTTAAAATGCCCGAGTTCGTCATCTCAGATTTATCAAAATGGGTATTCAAAAACTGTAATAAAAGACTCTACTGAAGAAAACTTTGAAGAAAAAAAAACAAAAACTAACAAAACGTTAGTTTGTTTGCATCTTAGAAAACGTTTTAGAAAACCGTTTTATAAAGCCGCAGGAGTTAATTCACCTGTTTGAGTTTCAAAAACGCTGGCACAGAAGTCCGAGTTGGATATCACCAATGCCATTGCCATCAGAACATTAGCAGTCAGAAAAACCAAACCAATGAGCCGTGAAGCTGCCATCGAAGGAAAATTTTTGGGTGATTGCGATCTTCACTGTGCTACCAGTACGTGCCGACTATTAAGTGTCAGCCTTATACAGTGGTTGTTCCGTTTTTAATTAGTTTGTTTAGTTGTAAAACTCTTATGCGGTGACAGCTCCCAAGCAAAGCAATTTATAATTCATAAGTGTTTTTGTAAATACTAAATAAAACTGCTTAAAAAAGATCTTACTTATAAGAGTCGAGCTAAACTTCAATTTCAAGTAAGCCTGTAAAACAAGTGTCCTTTTTTTGTTCAAGGAAACGTCTCATTTTAAAAGAAGCACCGCAAGATGAAAAAGCAATAATATATGCCAATTCCAGTAATAATACTAACGCCCCCCAAGAACGCCAGCATTACCGCCTTAAGAGTCCTTACATGTGACTGCTAAACTGAACATAATTCAGTTTTCTGAAATACTAATGATTTACGGTCAGACTCAATCGAAGCTGAGGGAAATAAATTAACTATTGCTTGGGCATATTTATTGTGCATTCATACGGGTAAACTTAAAGAGAGTGGTGATTGAACCAGTTTTTGCCTGGATCCATCTGCTAAGTGCAGTATTCATATAGTATTTAATTATTAAGATGTCTCCTTTCATCTTTTTAGTTTAGGGACTATTAATTAATCGACGGCCACTTATACCTAGCCAAATTGCACTGCCTCAGGAGGTGGCATATCCGAAAACTTTTCAGCTTTAAAAACAAAAAATAAACAAAAAAGATGCAAAAATTTCAGGGTGGGTTGGAGAAGCTCGATTTATGGTTCAACTTGAACCTTACGAAGCTTAACGCGACCGTTCTAAATTAAACCCTTGATCCTCCGAATTATTAAATTTCAACCTTCCAGTGATACAGGGGTAAAGGGTGTTTTTTTTTTATTTTGTGGACTGTGTCGTAGTTTGTTTTGTTTTTTTTGTTAATTCGTCGGTGAATTTTGCAAAGCAGTTTTGTTGGCTTTTTATTAGCTTAGGTTCGGAGGAAGCGATATGGCGGAGAGGCTTCGGACCTTATTAAGTGCGTCAAAATAATAAATAAAGGTTGCGAAACAAATCGCAAAAAAGTCGCGGAGACCGAAAAGAAAAATGTAAATTTGGATGGAAACTATCAGAGCCCCAACGGGAACAGAGAGCACAAACAACTTGTCTTAGAGACTTTAAAAAAGCGACCCTAACCGAGTTAAAGGGGAAGAAAGACCGAATATGTTGTCTATTCTGTTTCTATGGGACGAGTCAAATTACTATTTGGGTCGACCTTACTTCAGTTGAGTTCGACTACTGGGTCACCAACGTCGAACTTGTGTAAGAGTCGAACTAAGTTGAAAAGTAAGAAAGGGCGTGAAACATTTTAAAGTCGTTGTTGGAAGCCTGCTTTGCAGGAACCCTTTAATAACAGACGATTCTCTTTGTTCCAACAAACAGCTCAATATATTAATTTTTAATAAATAAACAGCATTTTACGGAAACCCAGATACCCGAGGGGACATTTCTGGGAATTCTTGATGGGGGTGTGCCGCCCGGTTCTCCAAATGCTGACCCTATTTCAGACCAAAAAATGTTATTTTTCACGCCTGTTTCCAGACCTGGTCTTTAAGAAATGATGTCATCATTACTTAGATTACAACAGCAACAAAAAAAATTTCTTAAAACCCATTCGAATTGGCATATTTCTTTTTCTTTCTTACTCATTTGGGACTGAAACAATAAATACGTTCGTACACTCCCGTAGTTCCCTCGAAAACCATACCCGATTCCAGACCAAAATGGGCAAAGTCTACACCCGTCTTCAGACCAAAACGGCGGAAAACCCCTTTGGGGCAGCACATAGATACATAGGGGAGTACCCCCCGGGCCCAGATAATACAAAATCTTTATTGCCATGTTCACCTGATGTCTACCATGTTTGTCCCCGAAAATCGATCTTTAGCGGACTAGAAGAACTTGTTTGGGGATACAGCAAACTTTAATATTCAGAGTAGCTAAACTGAGATAAACGTCGAACTTATCATTAACTTAAATCACTCAGTTTGGTTCGTCTCATGAAACGTTCGACGTTTGGCCTTGGTTTTAGTCGATGCAAACTCATTCAAACAAACTTGACTGCGACAGAAGACAAACTTATCATGAACTTAATCTGTTCAGTTTGGATCGGGGGGTACTCAACAAAGTTTTATACAGGGAGGTACCGCCCCAAGGTCCAACCACTTTCCCTCTAAAATACTCTTTTTGACAGAAAGGGTAACCCCTCCGTTATTCTGATTCTAATTCTTATCGTATTATCTGCAACGGGAATTTCCCATCACGGCGGATGTGTAATTGTACAGGTGCTTGTGTTAAGATTTGATCAAGGTACGAACGTCAAGTGAATAAAGAATAATATATAGATTTAGCCAAGCCTAAAAGCGGAGCTCCCGATTTCATTACAATAAAAATAACGATAATAATGATGATGATGAAGATCGTTTTATTCACACTGGTACACAATACGATATAACCTCGTTGCAAATACTGATACCCCCCAGTCGGTATCGGGATGTAATCTAGCCTACGTGTAGCCGCAACCCACTCCCGACAAAGGAAGAAGAGGAGTCAAAGAAAACTACGAAAAAAGTACAACGTAGTTAGATAAGGTTTAAAGAGCAGGAAAGAAAAAGGTCTTAAAAGTTGAAACTAAAACTAAAACTCTATAACTTTAAAACAGCACAAGAAAAGATTAACTTATCCAAGGTGAATTCACACAACAAAGTTATATATGGTATAATAAATACATTAATTTCATATACTGGCAATGCAGAATGAAGAAATAAATTCAGGGAAGATCACCACAGTTATCAATGCAACTTTGGCACTGTACCTAACGTACCTAACCATTCATATAGTCATTCTCCAATTTCCACCGCAGCTGGTCAATTAGCCTGGCAATTCCTCAGAGATTGTGGTGGGAAACAGTTAGATGTCATGTGACCTCGAAGTAACTAATGAGAATGGTGCTGGGAAATATTTAGATTCTTGGAAAACAAAATTAACTGTTTCCCATGGGCCAAGTCTTTAAGTGATTTGTGATGTTAATATTTTAAAAATTTATAGCTGCATGGAAATTCATTAAACCTCCCTGGAAGGTCAGTTGTTGGTCATTCACGGGTAATAGTGCACTGTTACGCTCTGATGTGAATGATTTTTGCGATGTTGCCTGCTTAGAGAATATTGGCACCAAAAGTTTCATTGTTAGATGTCAGGTGACATTGAAATAACCAATGAGTGTGCACATGGTTGGAAAGAAATTTCCAGCTATAATAACAATGTTTCTTAATATATCATTGTTGTTGGAGAGAAAAAGGAATGGACTTGATTCAAGTAAATAAAATCTTTTCTTCTGTCATCCTCCGTTTCCACTTCACCAGGCTTTGGAAACTCATAGTCCACACCAACTGCCCTTGCTCTAGCAATTAGGCGGTCATCTTCTAAGTGGCTACTATTATTTACTTCTGGAAGAGGTTGCTGTGTTTCCTGCACATTGCTTGCTCCCTCAATTGGGCCATTTTCTACTGCAGGAGTGTGTTGTTCCAACTCTTCTCCTAGTAAATAAATTATTTGTATTAACCAACTACACAATTCATATAAGCTATGGGGCTAGTGGATTCTATTTTTTATCTTGCCTGAGGGATAATAGAGTTGTGATTCTTGGGCAAACAGATGCAAGCTACAGCCTTCCCGAAGGACAAGCACAAAACTGACCTCCTTTTCTTCGCACCCTAGTACTGCATGCTTGTATAACCGTACAAGAATTACTATTATAAAGCTATATCTGTGGAAGTGTTCTCAAAACCTGATTTCAAATAGAAAATACACAATATTTCTACTTTTGAAACTTCGGATAATACAACAACCTTGACAATCATTTTCTAAGTGCTGATATCTCATAAACCAGTCATCAAATATAATGGGAGTGACCCAACCAATGAACTCATTATTATAATCCAAAAAATAATTATCTCTATGAGAATTCAATGTATTTTAACTTTGTCCTAGTCAAAGTAATGCAACCCTAAGGTAAGTTTTCCCATAATAATAATGCACGATCAAATACAAACAGAACAAAAATCCTACAATCCAGTCATGGAGAATTAAGTACAGACATGATGACTTGTCATGTTTACCACAACAACAACACTTGAATTACATGACAAAAGGTCTAATCAATGAATTATACAGTGTTTTTGTTACAAATAAATATGATGAATTCTGGGACTCATCTTGTGAGAAATCATGAGTCCCAGTCCAGAACCAATGAGTCCCAGTTAAAAAAAATGAGTCCAAAATGGAAAATGTTTGGGCCTTTATGTACCAGCCACAGACAGTTAATCTGAAGACACACTCCAAAACTCTGTATTATAGTATACTGAAATTAAAATATAGTTCTTCTATTATAAAGCAGAAGTCAACAACGGCTAAAACAAATATGCATCACTAAACAACAACCATAACTGCCACAGAAATTACACGTACGGGATATTTCTACAAATACACACATTCAGATCGATATATCCATGAATTATTTTATGTCTTTGGCGATTTTTATGTGTCAGGAACATAGATAGAATGCAGAGGTAACAAAATCACTGATTTTATAGCTGCTCTTTTGAGTCCATGTAAAAAATATATATATGAAAGTTTTAACATTCTTATTTGTTACACACACACGCCCACCCACACCTCTATTAATTTAAAAATCTTGGTTACAAAAATGAAAAAAAAACAACCCACAATGAATAAATAAATAAAAATAATCAGGTAAATTCATAAAATAAAATATTGAGAAAAAAAGTGTTACAAGAAAAAGGAAAGATTAATTAGGTAAGACAACAGAGCATAATTAATTACACCAAAAAGGGGGAAGTTTTAAAAGTATACATGCTTCCCACCAGCAAATTGTGGCACTTAATTAGTTCTGATAAATTTCTATTGTTTATTGGCCCAATCA